AAAAGGACGCCTCCTTGTGAGGCGCAATCAGTTGTCAATGAAATATCACGCAGTCAGTGTATTGTCAATGTATATAGTCGTTATAAGTCGATCATAGCCAGTCGACCTAATATTGTGAATCTCCACTAGTGTTGTTAACATTATCGTAATAAAGTATATTAGTGTACAAAAGTTTCTCCAGTTTCATTTATACAGTTCACTTGCTCTCCAAAAAACCACCTAGCTCGTTGAGGACTGATCCACAGCCTAATCCCTCCGAGCCCGCACAAAATGTTTCAAGTAAAGGTATTATTCACCAAACGTCTATTCCCTACACCCCACAGCAGAACGGCAGTGCAGAACGGGAAATAGAACGCTGGTTGAGGTTGCACGGACACTGCTATGTGCTAAGATTTTTGCCAAAGAAATTATGGGCAGAAGCAATTAATACTGCAGCCTATGTTTTCAATAGGACAGGTAAAACCAGCATTCCAACAAGAACTCCTTTTGAATTATGGTTCAACAAAACTTATGATACAAATAACCTAAAAATATTCGGAACTTCTGTCTTCACCCACGGACCCAAAAGGAGAAAAAGGTTGTCTGTTGGGATATGAAGAAACAACAAAGAGATATCGAGTGTATTTCCCTTGCAGTAATAGTGTTGAAATTATTATAGATTTTTGTCTTTACTCTCTAAATATAATAATAAACAACAAATGTATGTCCTCATCTATGTATGTTGACTATCTACTTGGTTTTGAAAGTGAGGCGAGCTAAATATATAAATTTAAGTTAATGCTAAGTAAGGAATTTAGGATGAAAGATTTGGGGTTGGTTTCAGATTCTTTGGGAATTAATGGATTAAGAATTTAGATAATGGGGTAACAGAATTATATCAAAAAGTGTATTTAGAAAATGTTTAAAAAAAAATTAATATATATAACTATAACCTTATAAGTACACCAATGGATCAAAACTTTAATACTAAAATATTGGACAGTGAATGTAAAACAGATTAAAATACAGAAAATTTGTGTAGACAGATTATTGGATGTTTGATGTATGCCGTATCAGGTTGACATGATTTATGTGTAGCAGTATCAATATTGAGTAGATTCCAGGACCGTGTTAATGAAACTTTACTAGTAGGTTTAAAAAGGGTTTTGAGATACATTAAACTTACAATAAATTACAAGGTTACATATAAATGTAATGACGACAAGCTATCAGGTTATTGTGATGCTGATTGGGGAGGAAGTCCACAACTGGTTATTGTTTTACTTTCTCTAATTGCCTTATATCTTGGTGCTCAAAAAGCAAAGTACTGTAAGCATTTCATCCACTGAGGCAGAATATGTAGCAATGAGCATGGCATCAGGTGAAGCTAGTTGGTTAAATAAACAGCGAACGAAGATTTTGATTTTTGGTCACATCACAAACAACTCGCAGTTGGTCAAAAGCGAAGGCGTTCCTCGAAAGCCGATGAAGTGTCAATTTACTTGGCTAATCCAGTCTGCGCTTTAAAATCCAACCCATTGGAGGAATGGGAGGATTTAAAGCCCGTCTTCCCAGCGTTATATAAACAAACACACATTTATTTAAACATAGTAGGTACCTCTGTACGTTGAGAAAGTCTGTTTTCCAAGGCTGGCGCAATAGTAACTACTTCAAGAAATCGCCTAACAGGCAAGCATTTAGATAAATTGATTTTTTTAGGAAGCGCTACAAAAGCAGACTTCTTTTTGTAAATTTTAAAAATAATTTTGTTTTTATTTAATAAAGAATTACGTTTTAAGCAGAGCTAAGTTTTGGAAACCTCTAAGTTGCAGCGATATAAAATTATTCTTTGGATTACTATTACACATGGGCTTCATAAAAATTAATAGACTATCAGATTATTGGAAAACTGATTCATATTTTAATCAACCAATATTTGCAAAAGCAATGTCGCGTAATACTTTTTTATTAATTTTAAGAATGTTGTGCGTGAATATAGGAGGAACTACAAGCCATTGTAAAATAAAGCCAATAATTGACTATTTCAATAGAAGAATGTTAGAAATTTATTACCCAACGAAAAATATAGTGATTGACGAATCAATGATGTTATGGAGAGGGAGATTAAGATTTCGACAATATATGAAAGGAAAGAAAAATAAGTATGGTCTGAAGTTTTATGCACTTGCCGATCAGCTGGTGGTGCATCTGATACGCTTGTTGGTGGAACAAACCACGTTAAAAAAGTAGTATATCATTTAATGGATGCATATATAAATGCGGGACACCATTTGGTGATAGATAATTTTTATACAAGCGTGGGTCTGTTGGAGGAGTTATATAATAAACATACTTATTGTACAGGAACTTTAAGAAAAATGAGGAAAGGCAATCCCGAAACATTATTAAAAACTAAATTAAAAAAG